TCTTTCCGAAACTGTTAAAGTGCAGCACAAATACTTAATGGCTACTTCCTTCAATTTTAGACAGGTGGATCCTAGAACTTGCAATAAAAGTAATAGATCCTAATGTCCTAGAGCAGGGGTGGCGAACCTTTATGTATCAATGTGCAATTTTTCTGAAGAAATGTTTAATGAGGCCATAGACGTGCTGTAAAATAATTTTGACTTCGTGATTACCCCCGCGTCCAACACTCCGTAGTTTATATTTCATATATAATAATTCTAGAGCATATCGATGTTTCGATATTATTATCGTGACATCAGTGTATCGATATTTTCTAGGACTTAACACCTAGGTTTTTGCGCTAAGCATCGATGAATATCGATCATCCCTATCATACAACCACTATAAATTGCTGCTAAAGCTGGGCTTACACTAACACCTCTGCTCAATTTGGGAGCGATCAAAGTACCAACCTAAAGTAGCTCAATACAGCTCATGGCGCCAAATCTCAACGAAGACTATACTATCTGCGCAAGACTAGATTGTACCGCATGAGTGTGTGCACAAGCACAACTGCACTCTATTATTTCACTTTCCGAGTTTGATGAAATGGTTATCTGACACTAAAGCAGAACTAGCGGCTTTTAGAATATATAGTAACTTTAGATTATTTATTTAATTTACAACTGTTTTACTTTATTATAATGTCTTATATTTTTTACCATCTCTAAATTTATTGTTTTTTTTTTTTTTTTTTGAATTTTCTTAAGGACAATAAATTATTTATTAAATTTAAGAGTGGAAAAGTTCTAAATCTAATGTATAATTTTAAGCAGTGGACTTGTGAAAAGCTGTAATGTGATATGTATAAATTGCACTAAAATTTATGCAATTATTTTAACCTGTTACTAAATGTACTAAAAAATAAACAAACATTTATACAAAGTATTAAAAACTTTGAATTTCACTAGTATGTCGCTCGGCTAAAACTCGTTAGCACTTACTGCGTATTTTACCTGAGGTACCGCGCGATTGTAGTTCTCTATATCACGCAAGTAGCAAGAATGACAGAGGCGTGATGATACTTCATTGGTGTCGTGTACTTGAAGTACGATGAAGTACAGTACTTCATTGTTTTAGTGCAACAACGTTGTACAATCATATTCTTGCAAATGTACATTATTATTGTACTTGTCATAGTTTTTTTTGGCTTTCACTGCATTCAAGTGGTAGAAAAAACGAACACATGGACCTCGAGCAAGTGTGTCGCTGAAGATGAGGACTTGAGAAATTTATGTGTAAGATGACAGATGTTAAGGTGGATTGTTTTTTGTACAAGTGTAATAGTGGATTGGGGCATTTAAATAATGCTGAGGCTGACTGGGGAGAAGTATATCCCCATTTGACATAACGAGTAGACATATATCCCCTGTCCGTAGCATGGAGCCAAATGAAAAATAAAATATTAGGTTTTTTTTTGACTTTTGATAGGGACAATTTTATCCTAGTTCATTGGATGTGGGTTTAAATTTATATTCATACAAAAAATCTATCTAAGTCTTAAGTCCTCCCATTTAATCTACTGTGGTTATTATATCCACCGGTGTGCCCGTGCTCGAAGGGTGGATAAAACTAAGTGAGGGGATAAACATTTTCTCTTTTCCTTGTGGATAAAATTGTCTCCTGCCATTGCTAGCCCCACTGTTGTGGATATGATGATGGGACCGATTTTTACAAAGTCTACTTGCTATTGTCTTTTTATTTCGATAGCTTTCAGCCACAGCCACATACTTTGTCGTTTCCGTTATTATTATTAATGAATGTTATAATGACTAAATAAATAATATGCGTGTTGCATTTGCAGCTCTTCAACGAGTAAGGCGTGCACGTGGCGCCGGCGGCAACCCGGGCCGCCGCTCCGACACGCCGCCGCCGCGCGTCCCGCACGCACACCACCGCGACTCCATGCCAGGTGCCACACACACACACACGCTCAGTATTCGCATTATCATCATCATCATCATCATCAACATTATCATTACAGCTCTTCATTCCATTGCTGAACATAGGTCTTCCCCAAGGAATGACAAAAAGCACGGTCCTAAGCCACCTGCGTCCATCGACTTCGTCGTCACTCCCTACACTTCGCCTATCGATACGAGGCTGCCACTCGAAAACTTTTTTCCCTATCGGTTGTCGATTCTTCGAGCTATATGGCTGGCCCATTATTGCCACTTCAGCTTACTAGTCCATTGGGCTACGTTAGTTACTCTGGTTCTATTCCGCATATCGTCGTTTCTAAGTTTATCAGGAAGAGGATCCCCGAGCATAGCACTCTCTGTAGCTTGCTGAGCGATCTTGAGCTTCCTCATACGGCCAGCAGTGAAGGACCACGTCTCACCCTGTCTTACACTTCTCTGCAGTTGGATAGATTTCGTACTCTGATTCTGTACTCGGATAGCCATCGTAGCTCTACTGTACAAACACTTCAGCGCTTCAATATACCGACAGTCAACTTGGCACCGCTGAAGGGATTGCAGCACCGCCCAAATTTCGACGGAATCAAAGGCTTTCTCATAATCCACATACGCAAGGCAAAGTGGCAGATTATACTCCTCTGTCTTCTGTACAATTTGCCGAAGGGTATGTATGTGGTCTATGGTACTAAAGCTAATTCCGTCCGTGAAGCTTGTTACAAGCCAATTTCGTACTTCGTTGTTCTATTATTTGCAATACTTTTAACGTTTGACTATCGAAACTATTGCAATATCCATAAGTGACAATTTTGTTGGACCAGTGCATCAAATAGTTTTAATTTGTGTTTGAAAGTCTCATTCACGCCATGAATAAGTGTCATATAAAAATAAGGAGCGCTCAATATATTCCTAGCTTGATTTGAAAAGAACGACGATATAACGACAAACACGCAGCGAACACCCCGAATCATTTCATGCTGTGTTCATCTAATCCGGATTTTTCAACTACTTCAACTTCAACTAACAATAACATTTTTATTAATATGCGTAAACGCAAACAACTAGAGCCCGACGAGTTGAACTCAATTATGGAGGCGTTAGAGTTGAAAATCGCTAGCCAAATGGAATCTTTTAAAGTTAGCATTGAGGCGGTAGTCACAGACTCTATTAAAAATGCCGTAAATCTGGTACTTGAGAGAGAAATGTGCAAATTAACAACATCTATTAATGACACCCTGAACCAATTTAATCTGTGGCTAAATGATATGCAGGATTCAGTAAACTATATGAATAATAGGCAAGATGCATTTGACGCTCGTTTAAAAAGTATGGAAGTCGATTCTCTGCAGTGTAAAGAAATTCCCACTCAGTTATCAATGCTGGAATCTAAAATAGACATGATGGAGCAACAGGTCAGGCAGTTTAACGTAGAAATTGTCAATCTCCCAGAACGTCGTGATGAAAACTTGATAGCTGTACTTCAAAACATTGGCTCAATTATTAAGCACCCTATTAATCCTGCCGACATAGTATCAGTGCACAGAGTGCCGCATATGGATAAAAAAAATCCCCACTCGAAAAATGTTATCGTGAAATTCACCACCAAAATAATACGGGATAACGTGATGATCAACTACTGATATCAGGTATCTCGCGAAATATTTACGTCAATGAACATCTGACACCCAAAAATAATAAATTATTTCTACTCAGCCGTGAAGTGGCCAGAAAGAACAATTACAAATTTGCCTGGATTAAACATGGTACTATACTGGTTCGTCAAAACGACACTTCTCCCATATTCTCAATTCGTAGTGAACAAGATATTAGTAAAATTAAGTCCTAGTAATAATATTATGAAATCAACTTATTGTTATAATAATTTAAGTAATAATTGTTCACTATTATCTAACCCACACATTCATAATTCTACTCGTATATACATAATAAAAGTTTTTGTGATCTCATTGTATGATGGCTCCAATAATTTACCTAAAAGTATTTGGCTATATCGTATAATAAATCATAAAAATCATATTCAGCATACTGATAAACATAATTTTTCTTATCGCATTTATCATGCCACAAAATGCTCTGTGTTCTTAATATTTTATTTATACCTCACAATATTTTCTATCTGCATATTGCACTGATCGGTTTTACTTGTTATAATACCAGAATCAAAATTCAATTCTAATATGTTAACTGTATATTACCAAAATTGTCGAAGATTATGTACCAAACTGCATACTCTTTATATGAATATTATCTCTCATACATACGACATAATCGTATTAACACTTTAATTGCCGAGCTAATTTGACCTATATATTCCATTTGGGCCATTTTGTATATAAATAGTATATGTTCTGATATAACTCCCGACTAACAGTCATGAGATTAAGAGTATGATCGGAGAGTTTTAGTGTTCTTCTGTGGTGGGTCTTGCAAAACTTAGCTCCGACCGCATGGACAGTTTCCACGAGCTTGTCATTCATATCGTCCACTGCATTGCAATCTTCTAGGCACTGAAAACGATTTTGTAACTCGATCTGAAAGTTTTCGGGACTTTAGATTAGAGCATGAGGGGGCCAGAGCGTTGGTTTCATTAGACTTGTACCAGCATACGCAAACGCTAATACATGGTGCCCGTACATTCATGCACACATACATACTCATGCACATGAATTGCAACCTATGTATTTTGTAAGGCTTTCCTTTTACCTTTGGGGCCACATTGCTGTGTTAACACTAATGGACCACAGAAACTATGGGTGGTCAACTATATGTATAACAAACTAATATTTTTCAGCAACAGTAAGCACACGTCAAGTCGCAATTGTACAGCCGCAGAGAAGAGATACGGCTGATCGCATTGGTAAGCTTTAAACATCAATAAAACTATTTTATTAATGTAGTAACTCTCCCCCTTAATATTCACCAAACCTATTTATATCTTATTTTAAATGATTAAGAACATGTAATTGATGGAATAAAACTTCGCAGAAGCTGTTTCAAGTTCAACAGTCTCCAACATCACTAATATGAGACGGCCTCGAACCTCCAAAAGTGAAAAAGAAAGTGATATATCGATTGACAAATCAGAAGAAGAAAAAGGTAAATCCAAATCACCAAAGACTCCTCAAATGAATTTACAAAATACCACTAAAGCCACACTATGGATTGAATCGCGGAAAACCAGTCCGAGGAAGAGTGTCAAAGAAAATCCCAGTCAAATAGAGGTTACCCCGAGGAAAGTTGTCTCTGCAAAGAAGAGTACTCCGCTAAGAATGGCAGTACTCAAGAAGGCGCAGAGTGCGCAAAAAATGCGTGTCACAAAGATCGAAGCCCCATTGACTATTGGTATGTAATTTATTTTTTTATTTATTTGCATAATATGTGTTTTACAATTGTTATAAAAAATATAGTATAACACATTATGGTTAATGTGTTGTACTATACATATATAGTATTCAATAATTTTGTACACCATTTCTGGTGTACAAAAAAATTATTAAAAATTATTGAATACTAGCGGTTCGCCACGACTTCGCACGGGTAATTTCTATATCTTGACTACAGCGCGACCTGTCGGGTCCAATTGTGAATCTAAACCCTACTCGAATCAACTGAATCACACACACACAGACAGTAAAATTATATGATATAAATATATTTAAATTGATTAATTAATTATGCAAAAATATCCTATATTCGATCCGCCCCGGGTACGCACGGGTGATTTCTGGATATCGACAAGAGTACTACCTACCAGCTCTAATCGTGAATTCAATCCATTTAGGGACTACAACTATTGAAACACATACAAAAAGAATATTCTGGCCAAGTTTTATACATAAAGGCTCTCGGCAAAAGGAGTATTCCTACCAAATTTCAAGTCTCTAGGTCTTATGGATCCAGAGATATTGTGTACATAGGAGGAAATTTATAATTTTATGTCACACTAGCTGTTCCCCGCGACTTCGCTCGCGTGGAGTTATTTTTCGCAGAACCCTAAAATAAAAGCAGCCCAAGTTACTCTTTATAACATCAGCTATCTGCCAGTGTGTATAAATATTGACATTAATATATATACTATACTAACGTCACTCAATTGTTTTGCCTTCCCGGAACCCCTCCACTAACACTAACACTTAAACTTTATGGTATGGTATTAAAGTTCAAATTGACTTTTAAGTATTATTACGAATCTTTTGTATGGGAATATAGAAAAGTGTTGTTTTTAGACGTTTTCAGGCAATTTTTTTAATTTTTCTCTCCGTAAGAACCATCTTCGTACTTCAAGGAATATTATAAAAAAAGACTTAGCGAAATTGGTTCAGCTGCTCTCGAAAGTTGCGCTTAGCAACACATTCAGCGATTCATTTTTATATTAAAGATTACAATATATATAATTGTCAACATAATATTATTTCAAAAATTATATTATTCAAGAATTATATTATTTTATGAATGATTAATTTATCTGGGTTTCTTAAAAGTTTTGATTTATGTCTCCAGCAGTTCTAACCAGCTTAGGGTTATTTTTAACTAATTTTGCTGTTTGTAGGATATATTATATGCAAGGAAGTGTTAACTGTCTAGAAATTTGTTTGCACGTTTCATTAGGGGCCATATTACATATTGCACGTAGACATTTTTTTGCACAATGGAAGCTTTATAAAATGTAATATAAGGGATCTGACTACTAATTATTTTATCGTCATCATAGTACCTGGCCATGTGGATTGTAAATTTAAATCATAACAAATGATTTTCCGGATTGGTTGAGTGTGATTGTCTGTGTGTAGTATAACACAATTGCTTAAAGAATCTTTTTATTTCCAACAGATGTTGGATCTCATAAATTATATGTGGTAGAACCACGCTGCAGCTATATTATGGTTGTAGCATGAATGGGTGCTCGACCGGGGTAGGATCATGCTCTCACAGAACACCAGTGTATAATAGCAACTTAATATTGCTGTGTTTCATATGGTGAGTGTAGAGAACCGGAGACCCTTTTTACTAGAAAAGAGGCATTCCATCTAAGTCCTTAGGAGTGACAATGCAGCTGCATTTTTGTTTTAAATTGAGGATAAATGTAGAATTCTATGTGTCACAGCATCCACATACCACCAAAGAATTTGTGTACTCGTTTGTCACCCTTATACTTTAAAACAAAATAACCTTATGTAAAATAACTGGACTGTTGACTGGGAACAATGTCAAGGTTGAGAGTTGTCAAGAACTGCAGACACTAAATTGCCTACTAAGTTATTAATGGCCAAATGCTCAAACACTACTCAATTCTAAGTGACTGTAACACCATGAGACTTAACGACATCTTAAAATTATGTAGTGTTTGAGTATGGCCATAAGTGTCACAGATTATGAAGGAACGATAACATGATATTTTTGTAAAGTTGACAGCTTGGTAGCCCCTTTTTTATAGCCGCCGGCACCAGTAGGGTAATGTTTTTCGAGTGTATGTATGTATGGCTGTTTCTTTGTAACGGTTTGTAGCCTGAATGGCTTGATGAATCTTAACATAGGGTGTTGTTGAAATTATCTTAGTTGTAGAAGTGATTAAGGATATAAATAATGAGATTGAACTGTCTTTACTGGATCTTTTTTCCTTTATAAATATTCATTAACAAATTTATTGAATAAATAAAATTAACCATATTGAATAAAATTGTCTTAATATTTGGTATATTTTCCACAATTTCATAAAGAAAAATGGCAGAAAAATAATTGACAAAAATTATTGTGTCTAGAAATAAGTTATATATAAAATGAGTTATAATTTTTTATTATTTAAATTTCATCATTCATCATCATTACAGCCCTTCACAAGTCCACTGCTGAACATAGGCCTCCCCCAAAGAATGCCACAAAGCACGGTCCTGAGCCACCTGCATCCATCGACTTCCTGCATGTCTTACCAGGTCGTCACTCCATCTCGTGGGGGGACGCCCTACACTTCGCCTACCGGTACGAGGCTGCCACTCGAGAACCTTTCTTCCCCATCGGTTGTCGGTTCTTCGAGCTATATGGCCGGCCCACTGCCACTTCAGCTTACTAATTCGTTGGGCTATGTCGGTTATTCTGGTTCTACTGCGGATATCCTCATTCCTAAGTTTATCACGCAGAGAAACTCCGAGCATAGCCCTCTCCATAGCTCGCTGAGCGACCTTGAGCTTCCTCATACGGCCAGCAGTGAAGGACCACGTCTCAGTTCCGTAAGTCATCACTGGCAACACGCACTGGTTGTACAATTTCGTTTTAAGGTTTTGAGGTATGTCTGACGAGAAGATGTGTCGTAACTTCCCGAACGCTGCCCAGCCGAGTTGAATCCGTCGATTGACCTCTCGGTCGAAGTTGGACTTACCTAGTCGGACTATTTGTCCCAGGTAAACATACTCGTCAACAACTTCGAGCTTATAAATAAATAAATAAAATAAAAATAATTTATTTCGGACAACAAGATCCATAGAATTTGTTAGTAAAGAAAAACTTACATCTATGTTAGTAATATAATTTATACTCAATACTTAATTATTAAACAGGACATAGTCCTGGCGATCATTTGTTTAATCAGTGGACAGTCCCCACTGTCTGCAATCTCACTCAGCACACTGTGGCCGCTGCCGCGCACTCTGTTTAGCAAGGATGCGGTCTTTTTTCTGATTATTGCATCAAAGCTATCCACACCCGCCAGTGCAAACATCGCAGACGCGCTACAGTAGCGCGGCAGCCGCAACAGCGCCCTAAATGCATTATTGTATTGAGTACGTAGGGCACTATAGGCCTTTTTGGTGTAGTTGGTCCATAGGCTGCAAGAATAAAATGACGCACAATATGCTTTGAAAAGCGTGATCTTTACAGCGTCAGTGCAGCGACCAAATCTATGCACCAACATATTCGCCCTGACCGACAGTGCCCTACGTTCTCTTTCAATGTCTTCATCGTCTTTAAGACTGTCAGTCAAAATATGTCCAAGATATTTAAAACTATAGACCCTTTCTAGTGGTTCGTTATAGAGCTTTATAGGGGGTACAACACTAGGACATCTACTGCCAGCCTTAAACACCATGAACTGTGACTTTTTGGTATTGTATTGTAAACCATGTGAGACAGCAAACTTTTCGCAAACACCGAGTAAAGCTCTCAGCGCACTAACTGAGGGTGCCAGCAGAACCATATCGTCCGCATAGCTGTTATTGTTCACACAGACCTTGCCGATATGGCATCCGACACGCATGCTGCTGAGCTCTCGAATCAGTGCGTCCATATACAGGTTGAAGAGCCTCGGCGATGTCAGCCCCCCTTGCCTCACCCCGCACTCCATCCTGTATGGCTCGGAATATTCATTTGCCCATCTCACATAGTTCACCTGATTACTATACCAATATTTAAGCAAATCGGTGTAGCCGTCAGGTAAACCTACGCCTTCTAACTTACGCCACATGATGTCGTACGAGACAAGATCGAAAGCTTTACTCAGATCTAGGAAACAGGCGTACACCGGTGTGCGCCTGTCCGTGTAATATTTGACAGTATGCTTTAAACTCATTATTGCTGTTTCTGTCGATAGACCACGCGTAAAACCGTGCTGGCCATCATGTAGCGTACAGTGGTTTTCTAGAATAGAGTTAAGCACACTGTCAAATATCTTGGCTATTGTCGTTGCCAATGATATTGGTCTGTAGTTCGATCTCTCTGATACGTCACCAGTACGGTTTTTTACAATGGGGACAACTGAAGTTCTCATTAAGTCGGCAGGCAAGTACGAATGCGAAACACAAACATTAAATAATAGTGCCAAAACTCTAGGTAAATGCACACCTGCATATTTAAAGTGCTCAATACTGAGACCATCGTGACCGGGTGACTTACCTGCAACCATAGTTCGAATAACACGTGCTATCATTTTGTCACTCGCTACCATTTTGAGTTCACGCTTGGTCTCAGTATTTGACACGGGGTGTGACGACGGCCCTAAGGGTGACGTGACCATAAACTGATCCCTGAAAAGATTTGCAATTTGCTTCATGTTACTAACCCCATTTATTGCTTCAGGGAGACTAGGTCCAACGTTGAGTTTATTTGTAGACTTCCAAAACTTTTTAAAGTCTTGTTTTGAATGATAAATAGCCAATTTATCCATTTTTAGTTGATTCTGATGATTTTGGCACCACTTCAATCTACTCTTGAAGACACGGCGGCTGCTAACCATCTCATCATAGACAAAACCCTGCCTCGGTCGACCATACCATACCCATATCATAAATTTGGACCTAGCCTCCCTGTGGGCCTCACCGACATGCTTATTCCACCCTATTAATACACGTTTTTTG